TTGCTTTGTATAATTCAAAGGAAGAGCACGGTATTAAAATTTTTACAATTGCATTAAAACCACTAAAACTTACATATATTATTTTGTTAAACTTTGTACCACAACTCATCAAGTGTCATAATGGTCAAACTTTCATTATATCTTAGAATAGTTCGCAAGTTCAGTTCCCCATTAGCCCTTTCCTTATTTCAATGGCTTTTGGTGAAAATTGTACAACTAAAAATTTATACAATAAATTGGTGGACAGATTCAAACCCAGAACGTAAAATAAACAAATGCAAGCACTGACCAACTTGGCTGCAAGGAACGGATGAAAGAAAAGTGATATATTTGTCTATTCTCAGCCAAAAAAAAAAGGCTCCCAACGGATCCAGCACGCGCGGCCGCAGGGGCTCGTCGGGTGCTGGATCCGCCAGTGTCTAAAAACAAGTCAATAGTTGACAATTAGTGGATGTGTATGGTAAAGGAGGGTACCACTAGGATTGAGCCTCTAAGATTTGAAGCTAGATTAGTGTACACACTAAACGAAGGAGTTGATCGTCATAAAAGTTTTTCTTTGATTGTTAAAGATACTATTATTGAGGTCATGCTTCCATTAGTTGCATATTTTGTCTATAAACTTGAACATTTGATGCGAAAATTGCATTTCATATGGTGAAGTTGAAGAAAAAATTTATATAAGTCAATCACTAGGTTTTAGAGATAATCAAAATCTTGAACACATATATTTTCTTAAAGAATCTCTCTTACGATTTAAAACGGTAACCTAAACAGTGATACAAAATATTTGATTCTTAAGTTCTTACTATTAGCTTTAAAAGAAGTAAGTTTGATCATTGTGAATATAAAAGCGATTGTGAGTTTTTGTTATTATATGCTTATGATATGTTGTTGATTGGATCTTTGATAATGTTAATAAATGAGATAAAAGCCACACTTAATAGTAAATTTGATATGAAAGACTTAGAAAAAAGAAAAAAAAATCCTAAGTATGGAAATAGAAAGAAATAAGTCCAATTCTTTGTTACGTTTATATCAAACTACTTATGTTTTAATTAATTTATTTATTTATTTATTTTTTTAATTTGGCTTGCATGAATGTAAACTTGTTACATTTCCATTAGCAGACCATTTTGTTCTAAAGAATAATCACCTTGCTAATGATGAAGAATTAGAATACTTGAGTAGGATTCCTTATTCAAATGCTTTAGGATCTCTATGTATATTATGATGTGTACAAGATCTTATCAGGCCTTTGTTGTGATTAATATACTTAGTAATCTAGGCCCTCACCATCGGGAAGCATCGTAATGCATATCTTTTATTTAAGAACAATTCTAAGTGTGAAATTGAGAGAATTTGTAGGTGTAGACTACGTAGGGGATAGAAATTAAGGCTGGACAAAACTCTCGAATCGAATCAAATCGAACCGAACCGAGCGATTCTTAAATTAAATACCCAAACGGGTATCTGAATCGAGAATCAACGGATTTCATTCGGTTTTTAATTCTATATCAAGAACCGAATAAAAATCGAATCTCCCTAACTTTTTTAATTAATTTATTTTAAATAAGTCAAATTATTTTATTTTTAAATAAATTTGCTAACTAGTTAATTTAGCTCAAATCCAAAAATTTGATTTTCTTACTTCTAATTTTCAGTTCAAAACCTACTTAATTAAATTGACCTAAATTTTATCCAAATCAGTTACTTTACTGTAGTGTCGTTTCTACTGTTCTGGAGAAATCGAATTGAAGCTCGACAATGTCCCTCTTAATTATTTTGAGTTCGCTATCTTCCTCTTTCTGTAATTTTAAAATTCAAATTTATGAAAAATTCAACAAAGAGAGAAGTAAAAGACACATAAGATTAGATCACGTTATTTTTTAAGAGCTAAAATTGAACATATCATTAGTTGAATTAACGTAACTTTGTAAATATTAAAAAATTAAATATAATACAAAACTTGGGAATCGAACCGAACCAAATTGAACCGAATGGAATAGAACCCTAATGGTCCCATAATTAAATTTGGACCCGACGGTTCCACTTATTAAATATCCAAAAATTTAGGGTCCAATTCGGTACTCGTTATAACCGAACCGGACTAGGTCCAACCCTAACAGTAATAATAGGAAGTCAACTTATTTTATGTGTTGACTTTGTGAGATGCATGTGGCAGTTGGAAATCAAAATTATAGTCTATAGTTGCACTATCCACGAGCGAATTTATGTATATCGCCACCATAGAAGCCATTAAAGAGTCTTTGTGGCTTAAGGGTCACTTGAATGAACCGTGCATTTTTGAAGGTGATGTGATTGTATCTCCATTAGTCAGTCGGCTATGCAATTTTTATTTTTTTTAAAAATCTCAGTTTTTACGAGTGCACTAAATATATAGGCTTTACGATGCATTTTATTAGAGGTATTGTGTCACATGGTGAAGTAAAACTTGAAATGTTGCTTTCGTTATATATTGCTTCAAATATGGTTACTAAAGTCTTACCTTTGGTAAAATTCAAAAGTTGTTTAGAACTCTTGAAAATTGGTAGGGTTAGTAAGTTCCAATTTGGTTGGATTCTTCATTGAGTTATGACTAACTTCGATTGCTCTTACTTGTAGGCAAGAGCAAAACGCCGAGGAAGTGGGGGCAAGGAGAGTTAGTTCCCTTGTATAAATGTTCTTTAGCATATAGGTCAAAGTTTGTTGGATTTTGTGCGGTTTGGCCCCCATTTTCTGAAAATGAAAATGGGGGAAATAGTATTTTTTTTGAAAAATGAGTAGTTGAAAAAGAAAGAAAAATTTTCAATTTAAGTATAATATTATTTTATGGAAGATTGTGTGGTTGAAAATAGGAGAGAGAGAAATGTAATGTAATGTAATTGAATTTAATGGGGGCCAAACGGGGGCTAAAATAGGTATCGAATCATAATAGAAGAAAATATAAACTAATTCACTAACCCGACGCAAACGAGATTAAAAGTGCTATTTTTGAGGTGTAAAGAGTTGCCAAAATAACACTAAATGAGAATAAACCGAGGTCCTTAGATCATTCTCTAAATTGGACTATTGAGATTAAGAGATTATAATTTATTGCATTATATAGTTAATATATAATACATTCCACGATAATGTACAAATAATGTACTCTCTCTCTCTCTCTCTCTCTCTCTCTCTCTCACACACACACACACACACACACAAAAAGAAAAAGAAAAGAGAAGAACGGACAAGGTTATTGCCTCCATTCTTCATTTTTTTCCTCTATTTTCCGAAACAACCTTCATTCCTTCCATTTCTTCACGAAATGCCTACAAGTATATTTCTCATTTGTTTTCATAACTTAATTTTCCTTTGTGGATGATCTTATGTTTTTTGTAATCCAAGGGTTCAAGATTTAGGTTGGGGATGAATATTTGGACAAAGTGGTTGAGAATTTAGTTCTTCGTGAAATTAGGGAACTATTGAGCCCCTCTAATACGGTTGTCAAGAATTCCTTTGTGCAAAATCTTGAAGAATGTTTATGTGACTTTTTTGGTTGTTTTCTTTGATTTCTTGTGGTAAAGTTGTAAGAGCGTCAAATAAAACTCGAATATAACTTCAATGACGTTCAGAAATTTTACCCGTTTAATGAATTAATTGTTATTATGATTTTATGCCTAGATCATATATTTATGCATGGAAGTGTCAATAAATTCTTTCTTTATGTGGCTTTTTTGAGTAACAAGTTGTTCGCACAGTATCCCAATATACATACATAAATGAAGTTTGATTCCACTTGTTATAGTAACTTAAATAAAAGTTTTTTTTTAGTGAAAATTGTATTCCCACTTAAATTAACACTTGAGTTTCTTTCAAAATTTCTCGACAAAAACTCTTTTTATATACTTGCAATTTTTGTAAAAAAATGAATATTATCCTAGCCTTGTCACTTGCGCATTTGGGCAGTATTTCTTGAACACAAAATAGAGGGTATTCTACAAGGATTTCTTCCTTTGTGGAAATTTTAATCAAGAAATAAGAGTCTATGAAATGTTGAGAATTAAAAAATATATGATTGCATTGAGTTATATATATATATATATGTGAAACTATCAACTTTCCTTTTCATGATTATTCCTGAGACAATATCATTAGATAGTCATAAGTAAAAATCCTTAAAAAAATTGGAAAGTCTTGATATACAATTTGTAAAAAGCCTTTTTTTGTTTACTCCACGGTTAGGTTAGCCAGCCAAAAGAATTAGCCTATGTTTGGCTACTGTTTACAAATGGTTAAATCACATTTATACATATATTTTATGGAACTCACAAGTATAACTAATTTATGTAAAACTCATTTTTATCTATTTGCAATTTAAACGGTTTATAAAAACTTTCGAAAACAAGCTTTTAAAATAAAACTAAAATGAGATTCTCTCTTAGAATTTTTTTGTTAAGTAACGATATAGATATATTGTGCTATATTATGAATATCTTTTACTACTTAGAACTTAAATGACACAATTTTTGTTTCTATATTGATAGAAAATTAATTTATCTTTATGGCGTGTGTATAATTTAATCAATTTTTGACTTCTAATTGGACCTATAATTTTAACATTTGAATCTTTATTTTTTTTCAAGCTTATATTCCTAATTCTTCAAAGCAACCAAAAAAGGTGTGTGATGAGAGGAAACAATCAGCCATGCTAAAATTTATAAAATTTCAAAATAATGTTTCTAAAATATTTTCTTTAACTTCTTCAAATCAAAAGAAAAAGTAAGGACTAACAAAAAAAAATAAAAATAAAGAAAGAAAAAAGAAAAAAGAAACTAAGCTGATTCCACTCAAAAGAAAAAGAAACAAGAAGATATCATATTTCATTTTTTCTAAATTTACAATTGAGAGATGATACATTCCAACAAAAAGAAAATCAATACCTTGTGTGTTTATGTCTCCACTTTCCATCATGGTTAAAGAAAAAATGAAAGATGTTTCTACTTCCTAGAATGAACAAATTTAAAAAGAATGTCTACATTAAACCTTCTTGACATCAAGTCCTATCCATGAGTTTATCTCCTTTACAGACAGGATTTTCCTTCGTCAAAACAAGCCTAGCCGCAGTCTTGTAATCAAGTTTGCATGCATGCGCCTCAGGATATCTATGCATCCCACAAAAACTGCCCCCACATTTACATCCAAATCCTATCAATCCAACCCTCTTGTTACAAGATTCACATCTTTTCTTCACAACTGGAGGATTAGTTTCCGCATTAACTGTAAGAGAATTCATGGTATTAACCAGAAGATCGATTGAAAGATTTGTGGAAACTGAAGGACTGGAGGGAGAGTCGGTTGTTTTCTTGAAGAACATTGTTGCTGCAGATTTAGCTATCTTTTCTTTGAGGAGATCTTCGTAGCACTTCGAACAGAGACCATGATTTCGTTGGCTTCCATAGAATTCTTGACATTTGTTGCAGAGTTGAAGAGTTCCTTGTTCGCAGGTTTGAATTTTATCCATTATCAGCTGCTGTTTCTGGGAGAAACTAGATGACTCGTCTGTATTTTGGGGATCAACAACTGAACTGATCTGATCTTCTGTGACTCTATAAATCTTCTAATGTACTCTACTGCAAAGAATTTTTGTATACAATACACTGTATATTGCTTTGGGAGTTTATGAACATAGGGACTGAGGGTACTGTTGATTTATATATAGAGGGCTTGAGGTAGTTAGAGTTCGACAGGGAATAGGAATTTTATGTGTTTGTGTATTTGGTAACATGAACTTCGGATTAGGTTTCCTATCTGTAAAGGGACTAGGATAACAGGAAATTTTGTTTCCTTATAACGGAGGTAAAAACTTAAATGGTTACTTAAGAATAAAAAAAATGTGAAGTTTCTCACTTGGAATTACGTTGCAGTGCCATTCTTCGATGTTAAACTCATATCCACCAAGCCATTTTTTGAAATTTTAGACTAAGTTTTTCGTTTTTTGTTAGAATTATGGTGTGATTCGAATTCTATTTGGAAAATCAATTGAAAATTCTATTTGAAGTCTAGTTGGGAATTTTAATTGAAGTCTATTTGAGAATTTAAGTTGGAATTCAATTTGGGAGTTAGTAAGTAGACTTAAAGTGTTCTTGAAAGAGTCCAAAGTTTTACTCATATTTCATCCCAAATATTTCTTTATTAATTATATCCATTGTATTGAGACTTCACATTATATTAAACTCTTCATTTTATTATATTCCTAATATGTTAGGAATCTTATTATAATATATATGTGGTGTACAACACACATTAAATCATTCCTTACATTCTACACAATAATTTGTAATCCTCCATTATTGATATTAATAAAATTCTCCCCTTCTGCCCATGGTATATTTTTACCATGTAAATCTTGTGTTTTTGTTTGATCTATTCCATATTGCCATATTATTATACTCGTTTAAATAATAACAAATGGTATCAAAGCAAGGTTCGATTAGCTCAATTCGAGATTTGATTTTTTTGCGATAGCAATTATGAAGTATGATTTTTCACTATTGGATTGCAACACTAGGTTTTCACTTTGGTATGTAAAGATGCAAGTAGTGCTCATTCAGATTAATTTGGGTGATGTGTTGTTGGGTTGTGACAAAAGGCCCTCAACTTGGTCCATGGAGAAAAGATAACGTAAGGATCGAAAGAACCTATCATAGATAAATCTTCATCTTTCGAAATAACATTCTACAGGATGTTTTGAAAGAGAAAACTACAACTACCTTATGATTAAAACTGGTGCAATTATGCATGACTAAAAGTTTAATCAGCAAATTGCACTTGAGCGACGTCTTTATTCTCCTCATATGATAGAAGGTACATCACTAGAAGATCACCTAACTATTTTTAAGGAAATTGTCGCTGGTTTGAAGACTTTAGAAGTCAAATATAATGAAGATGATTTTGGGTTAATATTATAATTTTCGCTGCATACTTCATACATGTCGTTTAAGGACACGATCTTATACAATCTTGATTATCTCACTATTGAAGAAGTTTATGATGCTCTAATTTCAAAAGAAAAGATGAAGCATATTGTTGGATCTGAGGTTCATGGATATTGCCTCTTGTCGATGATGATTATGTGAGGGGCAGATTAAGGTCTAATTACAATAATGAAGTTTGTAATCATTGCAAGAGATGGGGGACACGTTAGAAAGGATTGTTATGCGTTTCACAAGAACAAAAAATTAACTACTACAAATAAGAAAGAAAAACAATCAGAAATTCAGGTGAAATTAGTATTGCAGAAGATAGGTAAAATGGTAGAGAACTTTTGGTTATTTATGACAATGACTTCAAACCTGACGAAGATTGGATTCTTGATACAACTTGCACTTTTCATATGTGTCCTAATCGAGATCTGTTCTCAGCATATGAAACGGTTTTCAAAGGTGTTATGGTAAAGGAAAATAATTCACCTAGTAGAATAGCTAGTATTGGAAGAGTCGGAATTAAGATGTTTGATGGAATTGTCAAAACACTTGATGCTGTGAGACGTGTTCCTAATTTGAAGAGATATATTATCTTTTTAAGTACTCTTGATTCAAAAAAGTACAAGTCCACTTCTGTAGGTTGAGTTCTAAAGATTTAGTAAATATACTCGAGTTGTGATAAAAGGACAAGGAAAGACCCAATTATATATCTTGGTTGTACAAAATTATTGAATAATAATCCACAGAAATTAAGGACTCGAGTAAATTTTGAGTTTGGTTCAGTATAGTTGGAGTTTGTTTTAGGGTCCATTTTAAAGAATACGTCTCATTTGAGTTCAGAGGTTAAGGGTAATTCCGCTTTGCCACCACGACTAGTAGTGCCTTCATATTTAATTGCTAGATATAGACCCAGGAAAGACATTAGGCCTCCACAATTATTTGTGATTTTGTTACTCGTGGGGATAATTCGAGCAATTTATATATCCAAAATAATCCAGTTGAGCATTGCTTGGATTCAATTGATTTTTTCAGTGATTGAGTTTATCCTAGTTGGGTTTTGTGAAGAGGTGGATAATTTTTCTTATTGGAGTTTAGTTTTGGTGGAGAAATTTAAGTTAAAGAGTTAAAGTTTTTATTCCTTACAATGGAATTTGTCTCCAAGCAAAGAAATTTTTAAAGTTTTGTTCATTGCAGTGAAATTCGTGTTAAGGTGAAATTTGTTAGAATTAGGGTGTAACCTGAATTCTATTTGAAGGATTACTTGGAAATTCTATTTGAAATCTAGTTGGGAATTCTAGTCGAAATTTATTTAGGGTCCGTTTGATTGCAAAGATGAAATTTGGGTGGACAGAAAACGAAATCCCAAGAAATTTAATTGCCTAAAAATTATTCTATTGAGAATTGTCAATTGATAATGTTTGATTGGTATAATTTTTCACTTATAAAATGTTGAAATTTTGGATTTTTGGTGTTCGTTTGGCTTTATTTTTTATGAAAATTGTCAATTGAAGAGATAATTTATTTTACAATTGTGAATAGAATTTGTTCTCATTGCTAAAAAAAAAGAGAGAGAGAGAATGCTGGAATTCCAATTTCCACCAAAATGATGGGAATTGATTTTCGGAAAAGGGGTCACGTGAGGGTGGGGAGAGGAAAATCCATTGCCTGGAAAATATAAGCTATCAAACAGTTAAAAAGGAGAAAAATAGAAAACGTTTTCCATTTTCCATGGAAAATCCACCGAATCAAACGGACCCTTAGGAATTTAAGTTTGAATGCAATTTGTGAATTGATAGTAAACTTTAAGATGTCTTGAAGGAGCCCAACTTGCAATTAGTTTCTCTTCGCGTTTTTGGCAATATTTTACTCTTATTTCATCCCAAATATTCTATTATTAATTTTACCCATTATATTGGTACTTCACCTCATGTTAAACTCTTCATCGTATTATATTCCCAGTATGTTAGAGATCTTAGTATTATATATAAGTAGTGTACAACACATATTTAATCAATTCTTACATTCTACAAAATAATTTGTAATCTTCCATTATTGACTTCTGTAAAATTTTCGTTTTGCCTATAGTATATTTTTATCAAGTAAATTTTGTGATCTTATTAGATTTATTTTCATATTACCATATTATTATAATGGTTTAAATCATAACATTTTTCATATCAAACTAATTTCCTTTTAGACAGCTATAGACCATATGTTTGTAGAATTCCTTTATCTGTCAAGAATCAACTAATTGGTCAATCAATTCCAGAACCATCTTAATCTAACAACTAATCACATAATACAACCTGCTTAAAAGGAAAACAAAACGAAGAAGAACAGAAAAAAGGTGGAAACCCAAGTCAGAGGAATAGAGCTAGTACTGTGGGTCGCGGGTCGTCTCGCCTAGTTCTCTTGGGAGCCTTGAGATGTGCTGGTGAAGAAGTCAGGGAGAGTTTGTATTTGTAATTTCATACGAGTTAAAAGTCAATCTGGTTTTGTAACATTAACTAAATTTGACTTCAATATGATCCACACTATTGAACTTTATGGGAAATTAATAAGACCCACAAGTATAACAAATAATTTTACAATGAACTCCTCTCTTGATAAATAATGTAAATTAATTAAGTATTAAGAGAGACTAACACTTCAATGAATACCAACAAATGATAGCTCAAGTGTTAGATAAAAATTTTGATGAATATGATGATTAAAAGTTTTGAGTCAATCAATACAATTTTTCGATGAGAAGATGAAGAACAATTAAATGCAATTTAAGTTCTAAAATCTTCTCAATATATTTATCTATTTTAATGAGTGACGGCAATAAATTAAGTTACAAGAGTGATGAGAAACTTTGATAAATATGATAATTAAAAGTTTCATTCAATCATTCAAAGTATTCAATACGAAGAAGTGGAAGAAATAGATGCAATGTAAGATCAAAACTATTCTTCCAAAATATATTTATATTTTAAGAATGATAGAAATAAATTAAGTTCAAAAAGATAGATAAAAAAACTTTGATGATGATGAAAAGAGTTTGAATCAATCAAAGTTTTTTTATGAAGAAATAAATGAAATAAATGCAATGTAAGCTTACGGAATTCTCTTAAAATATATTTTACTTAATGTTCTTGAAAAACTTTTTAAAGAAAAGAAACAGTGGGGTATTTTTAGAGTTCGAAAAGCAAAACAATCTGTCGAGTCGGACAATCAATTGGACGTCCTCCTTTGGATCCGAATGACAAAAATAGTCGATATGCATTTGAAATCATATCAGTAAAAAATTCAATTGGTGCATCAACCGGACGTTCTCCTAAACTCTTTGGATTTCAAACAATCAATCCGGATGTCGGTCCAAACTTCCGATCGATTTGACCAGTTTTTCGTTTTTGATCCTGTTTGATCCGATTTGAATATTTTCACAAATGTAAACTTTTTGAAGGAGTTTTTAACTAGTTTTCAAGGTAAATAATATTTTTAAAATATGATCTAAGTTTAAACATAATTTTGAAAATCCATTTTACTTTTGATCAAAATATTTTATGCAAGTGATAATCAAAATAACTTTTAGTGTACAAAATGATTTTTGAGCTTATATCATTCATTGCTAAAGATCAAAGTATTAGTACCTTCAAATTTGAATTAAGAAATCTAGTCTTTAATCTTGCTTTGAAG